TATTACCTTCAGCAGGAAAAATAAGAGTATGTGAGGTGGGACGATTTCATGTCCTCATTTCACTGTCTGCAGTTTTCAGCCCAAGGACAGGAGGTCTATAAGAGTGATGTTTTCCATTGTGTGGGATTAATGCCTTGTGCAGAGTCAAATCCCACACACAAAAGCAGAGACAGACCCAACAGCACACATCACTGACTCTGGGAGTTAAATGCAGCTCAGAGGAAATGAATTTCCCTTACATTAACACAATTATATTACAGTCTAATGTGCTTTTGATGGCTTGAGCATGCCGTCTCTGAAAGTACTACATATTCGCAGCACAATTATTCCACCCAGAATTGCCTTAATGAAAAATATACTGACATCCAGCAGTTAATCACTTGCTTGGTACTACATAAGTTATGGCTTGCTGGGGTCTGTGATTGGTTACAAATTATCATTAGGACTGCAAGGCATTATGAACTCTCAGTTATTGCTAGACATCAGTATCATTGCAACTAATTATTGACCACCATTCTTTATGTATGTTATTGATCACTGCCTGAGAAATTAAATGGATAATAATTAAAGGTAGCTTGAAGTCCTTTATTGTGGGAGAGTAAAACCCAAACAATAAAAACATTTAAACAATGGTAAACTTACATTCACAGTGCCATAATGTTAGAACACATCTCATTTGTGCATCTGCTCATTTCAAAAAGAATTGTATGTGCTCAAAAAAAGAAAGGCCAGTCAATTCTCAAGTGTGTAGAACAAACAAGGTAGTACCAGTCAAGTAACTGAAATTGCCCACACACTAAGAAAAATCATTTTTAATACACTTTTTCACATGCAATTTTTTTTATTGTAAGTAAATATCAGTGTTTTGCAATAAAATACTACTTGACATTTCTTTGTAATTATGAAATGTACTAGCAATTTCTGAGTGAAAATTGTTTCTACACCATTTTTTTCAGTGTGCGTGCCTTATCTGAAGTTAGAATTCAGATTTGGGTTTATTTTGGGTGAACTAACTAACCTTTTATAGTTACACTCTGTTATAGAACGCAAATAACTTTTTTGCAATCCTAACAAATGTATTACTCACTTGTTGATTTATTTGAACCCACATACCAGTCATTTAAAAGCCAATTATTTGACCCTCAGTCTAATCAAAGCTAAGCAAAGCAATTTGTCACCCATTTCTACACTTTGATTTACCGGTCTTAAACCAGCACAATGGTTGAACTTGCGGTACAAATTAGTTATTTGCAATGACTCGGCTGACTGACAGCATGTTTTATGAAGCACCCTCAAGGGCACCCCTCCACATGCACTGAGTTTTTCACGCGCACACAAATCACCATCGCTTCAGGTTCTGTTGCTCTTGGTCAGCGAAGCCGCCGGTGCTTTTGCGAGTCATTAATTAATTGCGGTCATTAGGCGGCGAGAGAATGGCCTCACCTGGAGTTAGAGGTGGAAATCAACGGGAGATTAAAATTAATCACTCTGAAAAGCGACAGTACCGCCAGTAGCCTGCGGAGAGCAGGATGAAGAGGAGGGAATGAGTGAATATCTCAGTGAAAGTGTGTAGAAAGATAGTAGTTTAATTTTTATTCAGAAATACATCACAAAAGCACACAAAAATAAGATGAGGATTTTACATGATGTGCAAACCAAACAAATAGAAAGAAAAAAAAGTTATTATTAGTACACAGTTTTCTAAAGAAAAATTCTACAGTTAATAATCATTGGTTGTCTCTTATTAGTAAGGAAAGTATCTATCTCTTTAAATGGCACTGTACAGAGAACCGGCCTAACCTCTACAGTAATGAAATCCCAAATGGGCCCCATCCAAACAGAAAACAGATGATTCGGTTCAAGGATGTCAATTCGCACAGCTAGCAGTAAAGGTTTGCTGATCAAAGATCAGATTTCCATGTTTACACTGGCATTAGTCTCCGTGTTTAAACAAGCTGAACTGATCTTGTAACAGCAACTCTATTCTTACAGGCTATTTTGGGTAATGACAACATATGCATAATATATGTTAATAAGACCTTATCCATATGGTGGATGATTAGCCTGATCATGCTCTTGTCCTTCATCAAATTCATAGCCCGAGCGGCAGCATATTACAGCCATAAAGACAAACGCAATCAAACTTTACAGTAAATATATTTACACATTCAACAGGATCCATGATCAAAAGACAAGCAGATTGTGAAAAGACTGCTATTTGTGTACAAGAGACACACAAGACAGGCAGACAGCATATAGTTGTCAGCATACACAATACCCTTCCATGAGACCAAATCCAGCATTTATGAGAAAAAAAAAAACTGTTCATTATACATCTATGAATATATCGAGTAATACTGGTCGCACAGAAACTGCCAACAAATCATGTATTGTTAAAATCTGCATTACTCATCCTTAATCAAAATATACTTTAAATGATGATTGTTTTGTAATTGTTCATGTGTTATTTACCTTACACTGCTGACATGGACCCACCAGCGACACCAGTTCATTAGACCCAAAGTTAAAAAAGGTACAGAGAGAACATCAGGATGACACTGCGGGATGAAATATACAGTAACCCAAACAATAAGAATGACTGTTCCCTCAAGACTGGTGACACTCACTGTGGTGAATATGGTGACTTAAGAGTGTTAAGACTAATCCTAATCAATACACTATTCATAAACATTCAAGTCTTTTAAAAATGTATGGACAATCTTTCATTAAGTCGACCTCCTTCAATTGGTTTAAATTGTGTCGTCAACAAATCCTTCAGTAAAATGTCCTTCATTTAATAAATCAATTACAAACTAACATGTCAAATTGACAATCAGCTTTAAAGCGGGTATGAGTTGAGCCAGGCCAAATGCAGGTTTGGGATTAGCATCTCCGAGACATCTGTGATCAGCTTTTCTGGCCTGGCGGGGGCAGAGGAGTGGTGGTGACTGGTGCCGTTGGCCTTCAAACTTGCCAAAGTCTGATTGCTCAGTGAACCATATTTTACCACCCAGCTTGAGCATCTTTTGAAATAAACCCTTTAATCTTATTTATTTTGATGACTACCACTATGCTGCAGGTTTGGGGGAAGTGGAGGTTTGTGTGTCACAAGCCAATCAACGCATAAGCAAACAACCAATCAGAGACTTGAACACTAATCACACTGACATGTACCGATGGGGGTTTACAACTGCCAAATGGTCCATAAAAATCAAAGCAGGTTAAGAATCACAGTATTAGCTTATTGTCAGATAAATCAATTTCATGTTCATATATACACATCACATGTAAATAATTTTCAATCCAAACAAACGCTTTTATCTTTTTTAAAAACAATCTCATCCAGAAACCAAAGTCAACCCACATATTTTCCACAGACTTTGAGTAAATCTTTACCAGGCTTTTGTAGCATGAAGAGATAATAATTGTCATAGATAAATGGTTTAAAGTTGCCTGAAAATGTTTCAAACTGATAAAAAAGCAAAAAGAATAACAAATAGCTTGGGAGTTTTTTTATCTAAAGCCAAGAACTATGGTTTGTTCTACATACATTTCATTTAGTTCAATGGGTTTCATTTAATCTCTGGAGAACACTTAATAGGCAAACAATTCAAGTGCCTTGTATTAGATAGGGCCTTCTATTTTTAAAAAGAAAAAAAGAAAAAAGAACATCATGCATTGCATTATTGACAAAACAGAAGCAGGTGAATCAATCACCTTTCCGCATCCTATTTAATAAAGTTTTTTGTTAATGTTTGTTGAAGTTCTGTGAGTCAAATTGTATTATGAGAGATGGTACAGCTGAGTTTGACTCTCTGCAGAAACCTTCATTTGCTTCTTCACAAATTCCGCTAGAACAATGAATAGAATAGTGACAGTCTAAATTGTGTGGAGAATGATCCCAGTTCAGATTTACACAATGGACCCATCCCTGTTCTGGGCAGGGACCATGACAGGGATGGCCCCCATGCGGCTGAGGTTGGGGCCGGCCATTCTGCTGGGTGGGGGAATAGGGGCGTGACTAGGTGGCCTCACGTACTCTTCAGAGGGTATCTTGTCATATTGGGGCTTGGTGTACTCATGCAGGTTGGAGGGAGACATGGAGCCCAGCGAGGAACGCTGGCTGCCCACGCTGGTGAAACTGCGTGCGGTGGAAACACGACTCTTTGGAGGGGGTACATCCTCTCTGTGGGAGGGAGGGAAAATAGTGTTCAATCAAAACCAGTGAGGGAACCCATCAAATTTCTTTCTGCACTTAAAAAAAACATGGTAGAAAGATTTTATACATTTTACAACTAACTGTAAATTGTCACGAAATGGTCAAATTACAACATTTACATAGGTAAAATACTCTATTATACTGTATTATTTACTGTTTTCCTTTTTGCTTGTTTGTTTTGCTTGTTGGTTAGATCACATAACTTTGTTGGTTGCACCATATGACTGATTTGGCAGACTAAATTTATGCAGTTTTGTTAATACACTACTGTGCAAAAGTTTGGGGTTGTTAAGACTTTTTTTAAAGGGGTCATATGATGCAATTTCAAATGTTCCTTTCTCTTTGGAGTGTTACAAGCTGTTCGTGCATAGATAAGATCCCTAAAGTTGCAAAGACTAAAGTCTCAAACCCAAAGAGATATTCTTTATAAAAGTTAAGACTTGTCTACGCCCTCCTAAATGCCTCGTTTAAACACACGCCCACATGTCTACGTCACTGTGTGGGAAGATTTGCATAACACTGCCCAAATGTTCACGCAAAGAAAGAAGGCATAACTTTTTTATTCTTGCTGTAGTGTTGTTGCCGCTGCCACCATGTCGTGGAGACGCTGTGTGTTTCGTTGTGAAAGTGAAACTACTTTGTTTGGCCTTCCAAAAGAGGACGATATCCTGAGGAAATACATCAACTTCGCGCTGTGGATCGCCGGATCAGCTTTCACCGTGGACGAAGC